TTGAAATCCGAAAAATAGCTCTCCCTCCGAATCATCCCGACTTGGCTACTTCCTACAACAACATCGGTAATGTGTATAATAACATGAGCGAGTACTCGAAAGCACTTTCATCGTACGAACGATCACTTGAAATCCGAAAAACAGCTCTCCCTCCGAATCATCCCGACTTTGCTCAATCCCACAACAACATCGGTTCGGTGTATAATAACATGGGCGAGTATTCGAAAGCACTTTCATCATACGAACGATCACTTGAAATCCAGAAAATAACTCTCTCTCCGAATCATCCCGACTTTGCTCAATCCCACAACAACATCGGTTTGGTGTATAATAACATGGGCGAGTACTCGAAAGCACTTTCATTGTACGAACGATCACTTGAAATCCAAAAAATAGCTCTCCCTCCGAATCATCCCGATTTGGCTACTTCCTACAGCAACATCGGCATAGTGTATGATAAGATGGGCGAGTACTCGAAAGCACTTTCATTGTACGAACGAGCATTTGATATTGACAAGAAAGCTCTCCCTCCTAATCATCCCGATTTGGCTTCTGACTACAACAACATCGGTATGGTGTATTCCCACATAAGCGAGTACTCGAAAGCGCTTTCATATTACGAAAAGGCGCAAGACATATGGAAAAAATCACTACCTTCAAATCATCCACATATTGCACTTGTGAAAAGAAACATTGACAATGTAAAAAAGAAAATGTAACTGTTTTTTTTAAATGAGAACATAAAGGAAGGGGGGCGTTAAGAGGCGAAAATGGCCCCTCGTTGGAGTTCGACCTTGTCTTCCCAATTTTACCAGTTTAGGTGCCAGAAGTCTATTTCTATTGAAATTAGACAATTTGATGCGTTCCACATTGTACCCGACTCGACTTAGTTATTCTTCTTTTCTCCATGTTATATAGGGCAAGTATAGCACTTTTAATTAGCAGAAACATCTCAATCCATTTTGAATCATATACTAATCGATAGATCTCTTCGAGATCCATCAGATGATGGTAAAATATCTAGAGAAAAAAGTGGGTAAGTGGATCTGATGGTCGACACAATGGGGACAGAGTCATATATTACAGGGTGTAGAGTGATGGTGGAGAACTTTTGTCTATGAGAAACATGCAGGTCCACTCTGAATTATACACTAAACGATAGATCTCATCGAGATCTATCAGATGGTGATAAAATATCTAGAGAAAAAAGTGGGTAAGTGAGTCTAGTGGTCGACACAATTGGGACAGGGTCATATATTACAGGGTGTAAAGGGATGGTAGAGAACTTTCGTCCATGAGAAACATGCAGATCCACTCTGAATTATACACTAATCGATAGATCTCGATGAGATCTATCAGATGATGATAAAATATCTAGAGAAAAAAGTGGGTAAGACACTCCATTGATACATACAATGCTCATTAATGCCCAAAACTGCCCTTTTAGACTGATTTTGATCGATTTTCTCTTGAATAGTCAGGCTTGTTATTTAAAAAAATTATATATTTGAAATCAGCACAAAAAACTGAG